TTTTTCAAATTCTCAATATCAGATTCCCTGATCTAAAATAATCCTGGTCCTGGTGCTTCCTGGCTGCCCTGTCTTGCCTTTCTGCTCCTGCCCCCAAACCCATCCTGACACTAATACTCAATGCTTAACTCCATGGACATGTGCAAGTCATATTTGGCGTTTGTGATGGGAATCCCACCCCCCCTCTTTACCCCACAGAGTTTTTTAGATTTGCCCGTGCAAAATGATTTCTAAAAACCTGACCGTGGCTTGGTGGCTCAGCCTGTAATCCCAGCACTTTGAGAGGCCGAAGTGAGTGGACTGCCTGAGCCTGCGGGTTTGAGACCAGTCAGGGAAACTTGGCAAAACCTCATCTCTACAATAAATCAAAAATTAGACAGGTGTGGTAGTGTGCGCCTGTAGTTCAGGCTACTTGGAAGGCTGAGATAAAAGGATCACTGGAGTCGAGCGGGTCGATGCTGGGGTGGCCATGAATGTGCCACTGCACTCCAGCCTGGGCCACGGAGTGAGACTCCAATTCAAAAAAAAAAAAAAAAAATCAGATCAAGTTTTATTCAGTTTCTTATTTTAAAAGTATACTCCCCTTTCTTATAGTATTATGATAATTGAAACTTCCAGGGGAGCGGGGGACACATAACATCAACAACAGTACCTGATCTCAAGTCAGGCGAACTGGGGACCAAAGGAAGGGCCAAACTTTACTTGTAGGATAACCACTTATGTAACTAATCTTGAATTGTACCACATATCTTAAAAAATAAAAAAGTAAAAATTTTAAAAGTATGCCCCCTCTTGCCTGCACCAGGGACCTTTGCTCCCAATGTGTCTCTTTGGTATGCTACTTCTCCATAAGAGAAATGAAGACAGAAGGCGCCAGCTGGCTGCTGACAAAGAGGAAGGATGGCAAATAGGAGCATCCCCAACTGTTAAAGATGCAGTTTCGCAGACCTCCGAACTGTTTGCAACTGAAGATAGGGTGGTAGATTGGATATTGTGGTCATAGAGTTTTTCTCTTCACTTGACCGTATATTTAGTTATTGATAATGTAACACAGTTCTTAAAGTTTCCATGCTTTGCTTTTATCATTTGATGTTTTTCTAGATCACAGCCTAAATTTGTGCAAACACTATAGACTTTAAGAATTGGATAAGTCTCAGTTCAAAGTCTTATTATTAGCTATATCATCTGGATGATTTAACTTTTAGGAAACTCACTTTCCTTATCTGAAAAATGGAGATAACTTCACATGTTAGTCATAGGGAATTAAATGAGATCATTCATATTTTATCCTTTTCTGAAAAGTTCTAGGTACACTATAGTTTTATATATTTAAATATACAACATATTTATATATATTTTACATATATAAACACATATAAACATATATACAAACACATAAAAAGCACACTCACATAACACACCCCTGTACATCCAGATATTCCTGCCTGAGAAATACTAATTGCAAGTAACACTAACATTTATTACTATGCTATACACCAGATGCCATTGTAAGCACTTTGTGTATAGAAACTCATTGAAATACTTACAATGTAACTATAAGATAGATACACTGAGACACCAAGTATCTTTATTTTATAAAATAAAAAGCTGGAAAGAAATGAAGTTAAGAAAGCACTTAAAGGTCAAAAATAGGGGCCAAAGTGAGGCCCAAATGTACTCCAAAGAGTACATTTAAGACGGCACTGGGATGCTACGACTTGGGCCGAATGGAATGAGAGGAGCTGGAGGTCATTCTCTGTTTCTCCTTTGTCTCAAATCAAAGATTTTGCTGAAGGCAAACGTAGAATGTGGCAAAATTTACATTGGGTTGCTTAAACAGCCAATGCCATTATTATTCTTGTTATCATCTATATGCCATTGATTTGAAAAGTCAGAGGTACTAGTTCTATATTTTTCAGTTTCCACTGTCTAGAATCCAAGAAGCAAAATAGTACATAGTCCATTGTTTATGTTGACTCTTTACTGAAATTTGCCTTTCCAGTCACAAGAGCATCAAAATTATAATCCAATCACCTTTAATTTACCTAGTTCTTACTTAGTTTTCATATACACGTAGCATCTTGGCAGTCAAGCACTGTAAAGGCTTTAATTTTCTCAATTTTTGAAATAGACACAGTGAAATCCATAGCTTCTTATCTATAGCTTCTTCCTCAACATTTTATCTTACAAAAAGCTTTTAGTAGAGTGTTCTTATTATAGCCTAGTTTAGCTGAATTCTACCACTAGAATTCACTCCATAGATTACATTATGAAACTTATAAAGTAAAACAGGTTCTTTCCAAATCTGCTTATGTGAAGATCATATTATAAAAAGTGGTAGCTAGGCCAGGCATAGTGGCTCAAGCCTGTAATCCTAGCACTTTGGGAGGCCAAGGCATGAGGATTGCCCTGAGTCTGTGGGTTTGAGACCACCCCAGGCAACATGGTGAGACCTCATCTCTATTATAAAACCCAAAACTAGCCAGGCATGGTAGTGCATGCCTGGTAGTTCCAGCTACTTGGAAGGCTGAGGCAGAAAGATCGCCTGAGCCCAACAGGTCGAGGTTGCAGTGGCCATGAGCAGCGTGCCACTGTACTCCAACCAGGGTGACAGAGTGAGACTCCTAATCAAAAAAAAAAAAAAAAGTACTAGCTAGTCTATATTAATTAGTAAAGAAGAAAGTACATTTTATATTAGAGATACTTGCTACCCTTCAAATAAAAAAGCATGTACCCAGACATTGTGAAATTCTCTGTCAAGTTGTAGAGTTATTCCTTAGGCAGATATGAGGCTGAATTATATCACTGTATCATCTACCTAATGACAGAAAAAGATGGAATAACAGGATGATCAAGAGAGAAGCAACCACAAATTTAGAGACCGGGGTCTTGTAGTGTAGAAGCACACCTTGAATGTCCCCTGTGGGCCATTCTCTCTAGTTCTTTTTTCTTGGCATTCAGCTTTACCTAGTTTCCTTTCACATTTCTAACATAAAACAAAAGTGAGCTGTGCTTTATTTTTCCTCTGAGGTATGATTATTCTACATAATTTCCAAAATTCTACCTATATAAATCCAGCAAAACTTTTTCATCATTCAAAATCAGCAGATTTCTGCTCCTTCATTCATGATATAAAATAACAAATAGTTCATGGTATAAAATAGCACTGTGTATGTTTTCTACAAAATAAACTAGAATGATTATTATGATTAGAAATTAGGCAGGTCGGATAGAGGATTCTAACTTATATTCCTTCAATGTATTTCTCATTGTGTACTTCATTTTACCCTTTACAGGGTCATATCCTCCCTTTATTTGTCTTTCCCTTTCTCTGGTCACACACCATTATCACCGTGGCTTTAACATACATTGCATTTCCTAGTCTAGATACTCCAACCTGAACCTCCCTTAAGAATAAACAGCCAAAACTTCCCTGTACACCTATCCCATCCATCTATCTATCTTCTATCTACCTACCTACTTACTAGCATTGAAGATACGTTAAGAACACCTAGCCCTGGAATCTTACTTATTTATAATTTATTGCTAAACTTTCATAAGCAAGTTTAGGTTAAGAAAATTTATAAACTAGAATTGTTTCTGTATATTTTTACATCTATATATGAAAGATGAAAAGCACAGTCTAAGTATAGAAGAAAGAGTAGAACCATTTTGAAATTGCTGGTAATTATTTCCAACTATATGAAACTGTCCTTGGTTTAATAACATGGAAATAACAATATAACAGACAGATTCATTGTAGTTTCTCTCTGGGTTAGAATCAGACGTTTGGCTACCTTTACCATTAATTAATATAACAATAAATTATAGAAAGTTAAAGACAAGACAATTTATAAGAACTCTCACTTTGTATAACAAGGTCAATCCCTCATACATAGTTTATACTGAATGTTCACTACTCAGAGATACTAAACTAAAAAATTTAACATTGGATATATATATATATATATATATATACACACACATATATATACATATGTGTGTGTGTATATACATATATAGTTTAATTCCACAAAATGGAACTAAAGAACTCCTTTCTCCAAGGAGACATTGCTTAATAAAAACACTCCCTAGATTATAATATGAAACTTACAAAGTAAAACAGGCAAGTTCTTTCCAAATCTGCTTATGTGAAGATCATACTATAAAAAAGTAGTAGCTAGTCTAGATGAATTAGTAAAGAAGAAAGTACATTTTATACTAGAGGCACTTGCTACCCTTCAAATAAAAAAGCATGTACCCAGACATTGTGAAATTCTCTGTAAAGTTGTAGAGTTATTCCTTAGGCAGATATGAGGCTGAATCACTCAAGATATTGCTATGATTTTAATAAGAAATGAATGCAGAGTTAACCAAATCAAAGCAAAAAAAGGGGGATAAAATGATGATGGAACGCATTTTGAATGTTTTTCCCTTACATAGTTAGAAAAATTAAGAAGTTTCTACTAAAAACCACTGGTATTTTGGGCAATAGCCAGAGCATTTACATGCATTATTTTAGAATTAAAGTAATCTCACTTAATTGACAACGAAGTGCAAAATACTGCTTAGCCATATTAACTGATAATTCAATGCACATTTAGTCATAACTTGCTACTTATATTTAATGTCAACATAAAACTCTAGGTTTATATTAGAATCCCATTCTCTGAGTGTGAATAATTATGTGGTAAAAGGTACCTAGAATTTAGTAAGTTTAATTTTTAATAATGATAAACTTAGAAGACTAACAATACAGAAATTTTCCTTACTGAACAATATCAACTGTGAAATGATTCATAATTACCAATGTCAGTACTATACACCAACTCATAACAAAAGTTTACTTATAAAGCAGAAATACTTGTACTCTGTATAAAGACTTCTAAATGAAGGAGGTATCAATCATTTATTATCAAGTTTAAGTTTTAAAAAGTATCCTTATAGCTTAAGATGACAATTTACTATGGTATTTTTATATAAACAATGAACCCTCTTACCTTATAGATATCCAGAAATCCACACTGGTGGTCAAATCTGGTATACAGTTCATTCAGCATGCTGATCACTTGCATGGGAGTACACTGGGCACATATGGCTGTGAAGCCAACGATGTCTGAAAAGAGCATGGTGACATCATCAAACTTTCTGGCCTGCACTTGTTGCCCTTGCCACAACTGCTGGGCTACATCGCCAGGGAAAATAGAATATAGAAGATCCACTGTCTTCTTTTTCTCTTCTTCCAGGGCCTGGTGAGTTCTTTCTAAAGTTGCCTTTAATTTATCCATTCTCTTCTTCAAGCCATCTTGGGCCTTAGCCTGCTCACCAACCAAAATGACATCTCGAGTAGCATCATGGATAGGGATATCTGAGAGATGCAGCCCTCGGCCCATGAGTTCATCCAACTTGTCCACACATGGAGAGCCCAAAAACAAAATGGAATTAGATTCTGGGACATGAAGCATTTGTCCTTTGACTTCCATCACCTGCGAAATTGACATGGAAGTCTGATCAGTACACTTCACATAGTAGGTTCACAAAGCTTAATATACAATTTGATAAATAGGATAAAAAAACCATTTTATTAGCTACACTGACTCAGTGCATTCATATAAGCAAATTTAAATCTGATTTTCAGTCAGTTTAAAATTCACAGCTCTGAATAGAAACAATTGTTTTGCTCTCATTCAGTCAATTTCCAAACACAATAACGAAGTAGAAAGTGAAATCAGTGAAAAATGAAACAGGAAAACATTTTTTTATTCAAGATGAAATTATTCCCAGGTACATCACAAGACTGGTTTATGAGCCAATCAAAAGCTTTTAGCCTGCTTAATAATAATAAAATTAGAATAAATCCATCTGTCAAAATAACTACATTTAACTGCCATTAAAATAATACTTCTTTCACAAAATAAATCTAGGAGGTTAAAATGAATCAAAGTAATTGTTTGGCCTTATGTAAGTCATTTTTCAATCAGTTGTAGTCCTTTGAAAATGAAGCAGCCATTGCACTGACAAGATTAGGGGCAAATCACTTAGTCTTAAAAACAAAAATATAAACCAGATAGCATTAAGTCAATATTACTAAAAACTAACTATCACTCAACTAGCATGCTAATATAAGCAAAGCATAAATAAAAAAATATTATGACAGCCCTAAATGAATTTAGGTAATAAGACAAATAAACTAGGAGTGTAGTGACTTAAATCTATACCCCCCTCTCTGTGACCTTTTGCTGGAGAATTTGGGTTGTATAATGGAAAACTTAGTAAGCACAAGCTTATGCTATCTTTGATTGATAACCTTATGAATACTTTCAGAAGGGCTGAGCAATGAACCCCAGTAGGAATGGAAGGTGGACTTAGGGTATGTAGCTATATGAGATTAACTACGGTATTTCAGCACACCAAAAGAGAAAGCTAGTTGCAATTGTTTGGAAAGAACAGGTTAAGAGTTAGAAAACTGAAACTGTGCCTCAATTTCATATGTGTCACATTCTACTGCCACATACAATGTGCTCAATACATTTATTTTCCTTTTTTCTTAAAAGCATAAAGTAGTTTGGCTAGTTAATGAAACTGGTGGCATTGAATGAATATGGGGGAAAATATAGGGATTTGAATTTTTAAGTCCACAAATGTTTTGTTGTTTTCCCCTGCACCATTCACCAAGATTTTGTTTATATAAGGAAATAAAATTGAATTCTTGCTTGCTGTTATAATTTTTATACAACAAAATGCTCACTTTAACTTATGTAAGTATTTCAGACTTTTATTCCTATTACTCTCATTTATTCACTAAAATATTTACTGAGTATTTTGTGTTTACTAGTACTGCTCTGGGTGGTAAGGATAAAAAGATAAAATATGGTTCCCTTTTTCAAACATATCACAGTATGGTGGGAAACCAAACTGACACAGGCCAGAGAATAGGGTAAAGAAGATACTCTCAGTTCTCCACCCCAGGTGGGCTCTCAAAAGACTACAGGCCATGGTTTGAGTACAAAGAAAATGATTGTCCTGTAATGTATTTCTGGATAGTTTTATATATGCTTTTGGGGGGGATGGGTGCTGTTAATGATAGATATTTTCCCATTGCTAGGATTTTAAGAGCAAAATACACAATGTATAATAATCCTATAGTTTAAAAAATGAGAATATAACATTTTTTCTTAGATTTCCAAAGGAGTAAAACTCTTGATAAACCTTGTAGAGATAATTGGACTTTTAAATGGCAATGGGAACTCTACTGCTCATAGATTGAAACTTCTGTCTAGTCTCTGACCTTCTCTCTCCTCACATTTATTTCCAGTTATTTGTTTTCTTCTCCTCTTGCTTTCTTCTTGCTTCTCTCCTTTGCTATTTGAGGTACACTTTTTTTTTAACCTTCTCTTCATTAGGACTTTGACTCTCCTTCTCCCAGTCTCTCTCCCTCATCACTCGCACTCTGCTGGCCCTCATCTGTCCCACTGATTCTTCTGTTTTTTCTTTCTTTTCCTCCTAGGTATCAACTTCCATATTTTCCATCACAAAGCATTTTTTCTCTGCCTTCATCTCTCTCTCTCTCTCTCTCTCTTTATTTTAAATATGGAATCAGTGTATGCATGTATGCTCAAATAGTGTTATTTTCTATATGTAATACACTTAAAAAGCATTTTTCTTTTATTAAAAAAGGCTGAAATAGTTTATATTTCTGTCTCAAAAATATAAAACAATAAATATGTTCTTGATATATATGTAACCATTAGTTGATTTACTAAAATCTCTACATAAACAGAGTCCAAGAGAAAAAAATTGCTCACTGCCTATATCACAGAAAAACAAGTTATAAAAGAGAAGCCAAAACAAACAAAATAAATAACTTCCTTTTCAATATTTTCTATCTGTGTTTTTTTCTTATTTAATAAATGGGTAAATTCAACTGGACCATTTGTATCTCTATCAGATGCATTTTTACTTTAATTAGAAAATAACATAAATGATTCTGCTTGAATTGTTTTTGTTTCATTATAATTATAAATTCAGAACTACACCATGATCTGCATTTATTATCTTAGCAATGAGCAAAACTATTATAGGAACACCAGATTTTAATGTAGAGGAAAAAAACCTGTGGAAAACTGCTTAAAATGGAAACATCTCTCTAAGGTTTACTGCATCCTAAATTACATTAAGTTTCAATGAAATAACACAAAAGACATCAGTAAAATGATCATAAAAATGATCAGATTTCGGGAATTGGTAAACATAATAAAGGGGAGTATTTGACTGTAGATGATAGTAAAATGTTAAAAGTCATACTATTACAAAGCTTGGTTGTCAGATTCTGTTAAACTACCTACGTTATTTCTATGTTTTCACATAAATACTTCTATGAAAATATTTACCACTGTAATCAACAAGTAATTAGACACTGAGTAAGTCCAATTCATCTGTCTAGACATTTCACATTTTATACTTTAGCGTATCCTGAGCATGGACTAATCCATGTTCTCATACTGTTTTCAAGTTTCATAAGGTAATCATTTGAGGCAGTGTTTCATAATAGTTTGAAAAGAAGAGTTTGAAAGAAGTCAGGCCTATAATTGAATTTTCACTTTACTGACAGTTAAGTGTGCAAATTGACCTAGGTTCAGTTATCTATCCTTTCAAAATCTCAGTTTCCTTATTTATAAAATGGAGAAGATAACGATGTTGATGACGATGATGCCTGTAGCTAGCTCAACACATCTGTTGAGTACTTGGTAATGTATATGTTGAGTACTTAATATTTTTGTTACCGAATTTGACTTTTGCTAGAAATCACTATCCTCATTTTTTAAGATGAGATTTGTAAAGGTTAAAAGTCTTGTTAAGAATACACAGCTAATAAACTGTAAGGTTAACACTCAAGCCCAAATAGGATTGACTCCAAAGGACATGCCCTTAACCACTGAAGAAGCCTGATTGTGGGGAAGAGGGAAGCAGAACAATTACCATTTTAAATATAAATCTAATGTGATGGTAGAACAACTTTAAAGAGCTGTTCATAGCAGGCAGTTGAAAAGAGAGAAACTTGCTACAGACATAGATGACACAGCTACTTGCAAGCCTATCCATTAAAATTCAGTTCAGTAAAAACAAGTAAGGTCACTCCCAGATGTGGTTTTTGGGCCTTCAGATCTCTGGGATACACTTAACAAAACCACAAACAAAATGATACGTCCCTGGTGCTTCAAGAATTAAAGGAGTTTCTAGAAGGGTTCTTGCTCTCACAGAGCAACATTTACTTTTAAAGAAATAGCTCTAGTGAGAAAAGTAGAAGACAAGTGCCCAGGCTGAGAAACTTCCATTCTCTTACAGTTCTGAGATTCTCCCTCTCATGCTCACCACCTTCACTACCCAAGAAATTCTATGGCTGGAGTCACCAACAAGAGCTATTCTGCCACAAGTGCCCAGCTAAGAATTACTTTTCATCCTCATGGGCTGAAAATCTCCTCTTCCACACAGAGACAGCAGGATACCTGACCTGGGCAAGCTTTCTCTGTGTCTTCAAGCAGCATTACCAAGAGCTATGAGCTATGAGGAAGAAAATAAACCAAGAAGATGAAAATAGCACCACATAAGCCCTGCAAATTACACTGTCATTGCAACCATAACCCACAAAATTAGGCCAGGACCTGTATGCGAAACCCAAACAGAAAAATTGTCTGTTAAAATAAAAACTTTAAATAGGATCTAGAGTCACCTAACATAATAGCCAAATTATTCGGAGTATAACAGAAAATCAATCATCATAATACGAACCAGGAAAATCACAACTTGAATGAGCAAAGACAATCAATTGACACTGAAATGAATCAGATGTTAGAATTATCTGTCAAGAATTTTAAAGAAGACATCATAAAATGTTTCAACAAGCAATTATAGTTTTTTGGGAATGAATTTTAAAACAGAAAAAAATTTCAATAAAGCAATAGAAGACATTAAAATAACCAATGAAAATTACAGAATTGAAAAATACAGGATCAAAAATAGAAAACTTGCTAGGTGGGCTCAAAATTACAGTACAGATGACAGAGGACAGAAACCAGAAACACTAAACTTGAGGATAGCTTAATTGCATTTATTCAATCTGAACAACAGAGATAAATGGATTGAAAACCAATGGAGTTTCAGGGAACTTTAGGACAATACCAAAAAAATTCCACATTCATGAGAGTTCCAAAAGGAGAGAAGAGAGTAAAGTTGAAACAATATTAGAATAAATTGTGGTTGGGAATGTCTTAAATTGGTAAGAGACATAAACCCACAGATTCAACAAGCTATATGGATTCCAAATAAAATTAATACAAAGAAATCCACTTCAGGACACATCATAAACTTTAAAAAATTAAATACAAAGAAAAATTACTGAAAGTAGCCAGACAGAATGACACATTACTTATAAGGAATGCCAATTC